ATTTCGGGCTGTCACAACGTACAACACCTTTCATTATTGCATCATGACTCTAAATATCATAAAATTTTTAGAATATTATAATTTTTAATTTTCTTTGAAAAAAAGACCATTTAACTTTGCTTACACTTTGCTGTAGATTGTCATTTTAAGTTTGCATTGCGAATGAAAAAAAATGAAAACTTTAAAATGGAAAATGTTACTCATACGCCGTGTACATATGTATGAGCTGGTACAAGTACGGCCATGTTCGATATGGCGTATGAGTAACATTCCTTTCTGCCCCATTTTCATACAAAAAAATTATTGCACATTTTCGTTTGCGCATCCACAACCTGTTTATCTTCAATTTCATCGTTAGTAGCTTGATTTTTTTGCAAAGGAACAGGATTTGTTACAATTGAAGAACATTAAAAAGTTATTTTTCCCCATTAAAATTTAAACTTTTTTTTAATAAAAATGTAAATATCTTGGGAAAATTACCTGATCCGGTAAAATGGTAAAAGATCCGTAATCTACGACCCAATCTTAAATTCACGTTATTCAGCATTTTTTTGTGTACTGTTAAAAACATGAAATTTTGGCTACAGTGTTATTTAATGATCAATTTGGCCATTTATTATATAGTTTTTTGTTTTATTTATTGTATGAAAGAAATTGACAGACACCGTCAAGAAAAAAATCAACGGTAAACCTCAGTTCTGTTCAGTCAGTCTACAGTCCGTCTATAAAGTTTAAGTACAGCGAATTTTTTACAATATGGGCAACTATTTTTTAAATATTTTATTTTTCGCCAATTTTTTATAAAAATATGGTTAATTCTACAACAAAAACCCCAAAAATCAGAGTTCCAAACCTTGTGCAAAATTAAAGAAAATTCTGCAAAATTTCATTCAAATGCACTTTTTATTTACGATCCCTAGAAAAAAGTTGAGTATGCAGTTTTTTAGCCCATTCAATTTTAGTATAATAAAGTGCAGGTATTAGGAAGATAGGACTTACCATTGATTTTTGGGAAATATTTTTGTTGAAGGTGTCGCACATTTTTTCCATATAAAAAAATTATCAAATAGTATTTTATATGGAGAAAATGAGCGACCCCTTCAACAAAAAAAATTGCTAAAAATCAATGGTAAGTCCCAGCTACCTCTAACTTGCACTTTGTTATACTAAAATTGAATGGGCTAAAAAACTGCATACTCAACTTTTTTCTAGAGAGCGTAAATAAAAAGTGCAATATTTGAATGAAATTTTGCAGAATTTTCTTTAATTTTGCACAAGGTTTGGAACTCTGATTTTCATAATCATAATCATAATCTACAGCCTTCAGTTTCCTTCAACTCTATATAACGAGTTATAAAATTTCCAAATTGAAAAAAAAAACTGTTTCTGTGTTATTTACATGGGAAATAGAAATTCACGATTAGTGACCTCTAAATATTAATATTAAGAGCAGCGCTTTTGGCAGGCGCCTCTTTCTCACTGTCCCGAAAATATTTCACAAGGCAAAAGTTCTATTTTTTCGAACCAGTCTAATGTAAGTACATATGTAAGTAAATGTAATTGTTTTAGTTTTTGGATTTTTGGTTTGTAAAATATAATGTAATTATGCATGTTTTTATGAATGAGCACTTGTATGTATGTATGTATGTATGCCAGCACGCATGAATTATCAACAATTCTTTTTTTTTAGTATTTATCTGCAGCATTAAAATATTTATACGAGTGTAACTATATTTAGCAATAGCCTTTTTAGTAGTAGATAAATATGTATTAAATAGTTAGTTTTTTATACTACCAAAACTAATTTATTTTTAATTATTAAATTTTTAATTTAATTTAGTTTGTTTGCCATACGCAAATATCTATTTATGTACTATACTCTAATTCGCTAGTTATATTAAGTCGCTTAATTTTTTTTTACAATACAAGTAAGTACTAAATTTAATTATTTAATGTAGTATTTATTTAGTAAGCAGCACATAATTACATATGTACGTATGTATATATTGTGTGTGTACATATATTTGTTATTTCCCTTCGCATTGATGTTAGCTTACCAGTAATTATATTAAATTTATTGCATTTTCTTTGTTTTTATTTTTATTTTGCTTGTGCTGCATCCAAAAAGTACTAAGCTCGATAATTGGATTTTATTTATTTTTGTTTTAGTTTTTTTTTGTTTTCTTTAGTGATAATTGTCGTGTGGTGTGTGTTCATATCTCTGGTACGAGCTGAGATTTATTTTTTTTTTAAAAAGCTAAATAAGTAATTGGTGCGCACACATTTCATTGTCCAATGCGAAAACGTATATTATCCATGCCATGAACTTTGCGTTTTAAACTGCTGCCGTCGGCCCAGGAGGAGTTGAGATACTCGTCGTCATCGTCTTGCTCAAGTTTCTGTTGAATAGTAAGAAAGATAAATTTACATAAATATTTTAGTACAAGTATGCAATTATTCAGTGTTTGTTAGGAACAAAATAAAGCTGATCATAAAATAAAACTTCCACCGCTGCCTTAACTAAGTAAATATTTCTTTGGCGATTCAGAAAAAGGTAGCGCATGTTTTCATTTCTAGAAAAGAGGCATTTCTAACCGAATTTCATAATAGTGCCCATAATGGTTACAAAACGGATCCAATATTGGTAAAGGCTAAATCTGATTTAGACACACTTTGACCCGGGTACTTTCCGGAGTTTGTTTAATTTTTTCGGCTGTTTGGTTAAAAGTGTATACTGCACCCCGCAGAAACTAGTCCCAATATTTAAATTAGAAAAGGAATAGCCGACGCTCATCGGCAGGCAATGGCAAACCTCCAGGTGTATTTCTACCATGAAAAAGGTCTAATAAGAAAACGAAAATTTTAATTTTTTGCCTTTCGAACTTGCTTTTTTTCATTAAAAATATATAAAAAAGTATGGCGCTACAGCCAGATTTCTATACAAACTCACTTAGGTATAAAACCAGTGTGTGTGTTAAAGTCAAAAATAGTGTACTTGGAGTGTTTGACAATGCAAATTCGTTTATGAATTAAACAAACATATACAAAATCTTAGATCAGAATTATCCGAATCCACAAAAGTCAACGTGAAGAGCCTTCAAAGAGTATTTGCTCTTTCAATATAGAAAAGATATTCGAACACCTTCAGATTGTAAATATTTGAATTCAGAAAAGTCTACTTGAAGAGCCTTGAACGAGTATAGGAAATACTGAACAGCGAGAAATCATACAAAACACTCAAATTCTAAATACACAAATCCCAAAATGTCATTGAATAGAGAAAATGCTCAAAACAAAAATTTTCGAGTCTAAAAAGTGTGCGAGAAAAGCATTGATTTGATGACTTCCTCTCTTATTACACAGGCCTATGGAATTTACTTTATTTCCCCCCTTTCAATAATTATGATATTTTTTAAATATTTAGGTATGTAACATTAAACTACAGCCTTGGATTTTTTTTAGAATTTTTTCGTGCTTAGTACCTAACACGTACTCGAACTTCGTGAAAAAAACAAAAATTAATAAAAAAATAAATGGAATATTCTCGGAAAATTTACCTGATGAAATTTTTATTTTTTTTGCCGTACCTTATTACCTAATACCTAACCATCGCACAGTGATTCACAACTGGTATTTAGTGTTCGAAATTCACTGAAGCCTTAATTTTTCACTCAATTTGATTAATTCAATTATTTAAATGACTAAGCTAATAAAATTTGCAAGCGACAAGTTGAGCCCGATTTTTAAATTTTTGTTTGTTTGTATTCAATATTTTAGGNAAGCTCTGAAAATATTCAACGCGGGCCGCGATGCTGGTAACAGAGGAAGAGGAAGGCCTCCTCGGCGTTGGAAAGACCAGGTGGAGAAGGACTTGGCTTCACTTGGCATTTACAATTGGCGTCAGTTAGCACAGAAGAGAAATGACTGGCGTGCTGTTTTGGACTCGGCCAAAATCGCTTAGGCGGTTACAGCGCCAAATAAGAAGAAGAAGAAGCTAATAAAATTTGCAAGCGACAAGTTGAGCCCGATTTTTAAATTTTTGTTTGTTTGTATTCAATATTTTAGTGCAAAGTGCAGAAAAAGTAGCAATTTTGAAGAAAATCTGCTGTTCCCGTTAATAAATGTTACAGAATAAAAATTAGTTGAAAACAATTTTAGGGTTCCGCCGAAACGAAAAAAATCACGAAAAAAATTTTAAATGTTTTAAAAAAAATGTTCATCAAAATTAAAAAAACTTTTTTGAGTTTCTAGAAAAATATTGGGTATGCAACTTCCAAATGGCTAAGCGGTCGCGTTGATTTTAAATAATTTTTTTCCAACATTTCAAGCACATCTGCTTGCTAAATGAGAAATAAAAGCGCTTGTTATTTTATGAAAAATCAACGAGAACTCTTAGGAACTTGCAACTTTCACTTTGTTATACTAAAATTTAATGATCTACAAAACTGCATACCCAAAATTTATCAATTGCTGACCTCAAGCAAGAAAGTTTCCAGAAAGTAACTTAAGTGAATTTAATATAGAAACTATCGGAAAAAATTATTTTCCACTTAAATTGCTTTCGCGAAACCGGCAGTATAAATAGGTATACATTTGTAGAGAATTCGGAAATAAAACCCTTATAGGAGCACAGTCTACGAGCAGAGCCTTACAAAACCTTTATAAAACCGATTAGCCGCCACACTTAGACAAAAAAAATAAATAAATAAACCACGGTAAGAATGGCTCATATACATATTTATATATGAAATAATACACACGGGCGACGCCCTCTAGCCATTAAAGATCTTACTTTTAATATAATAAATATACAAAGTTCGCCATTTTTTTTTATGGAAGAAATTGAATTTGAATTTGTTTCAACAAACAAAACTTGCCAAAAACACTTTAGGGACTCTAAAATGACACAAAACCACGACAAGATATGTAAACTTAGTTTTGTATCTGTATACCGTTTTTCTAGATCAGGTCATTATCCCAAGATAATTTAATTGCGAATGAAAAAAATCTAATTTTAAAATGGAAAATGTTACTCATACGCCATGACGGAGTACGGCCATGCATATTATTTCTTGCCATTTTCATTTGACCATTCAAAAAGTGTTTATTTATTTGTTTTTTTTTTTAGAATCGAAAACGAAAAGAGAAAGGCACAATCAGGTGAATTTTTTTGGTAGAAACAGAAACACCATAAGCTACTTAAAACTTGCACTTACTTATAGAACTGAATTTGAATGGCCTACAAAACTATATACTAAACTGTATTCAATTTAAAAATATGTTAATTGTGCTCACCAAATATCTGTATGTGAATATAAGACGATTCTATAAATATGCAATTTGAAAACCTGAGCGATGCAATATGAAATCAGGTAAATTTCCACGCAGGATATTTAAAGCGCACCGTTTATTCATTTAGATATTTTTGAAGATCAAAATTCAGCGTGTAGCCCCTTCTACATGGAATTCCACAGTAGAATTTGCGCCACGCTTTGTGAAGATGAAAAAGAAATGGCAATAAACTCACTTCTCTTTGCGGTGACTAAAACGATATGCACTCGAGTGTAAGTACCGAACTTGGATCCTATTAAAATGCCTTTGCCAGAATCAGTGCAAACAAATATTGTTTACTTCAGCATTTGTACCTTTAAATATATACATACATACATATATACGTATGTACTTATACCAACAACAACTAAATGTGCACAATCGAGCATGCTACTCGAATTCACGAAGCAAGGTCACACTTCAATGCATCTCATTTATGTATAAGGCGGGGCGCAAAGAGCGGAATATTTCTTGGCCATTTGCTTTGCTCATTACACTAATATGACAATGTACAAATACAAATGCATAAAAAAAAAATTAACTGTATGTTTATATTTATGTACACACATACATATACATACATACATATATATTTGGTCAACAAATTGCAGGCAATGTACAGCCACTTAACATTGTAACCAACTGTTAGAGAGCAAAAAAATAAAAAAATATTGGCAACAACAACAATGTTAACACTACTAACGATTGCGACGGAAATGGTGACAGCCATTATTTGCACTCGAGTACACAAGTGCAAAGTGTCAACGCCAATTTTCATAGGGGCCAAAAATGCATTTCAATTGAGGTCAGTTGGTAGTTAAACAGTAGCTGCGGCCTGACACGAGGCAGCGCACGAGCATACATAAATAAATACGAGTATCTGTATCTACATAGTGCTTACCATAACTATAGGACAACCACATAAAGGGGAGGTTTGGACTATTTATTTTTTTTATTATTTAATTTAAAATATTTTTAATAAAAATACAGTTCAATGTAAATATAACCAAACCCACATCCATAAATTCAAGTTTCAAGAATTGAGCAAAAATAAAAAAAAAAAACCCACAAAAGTTTCATCAAAATTTCGCGTTTTTTATTATTTAAAAAAAATGAAATTTTAATAAATCTTGTACAAAGTTTGAAATTGGATTTAGATGAGTTTTGTTATTTTACAGTTAACGTTGTGGCGTACGTTCGAAAAAGACCTTCGATATCCAATATGAACATCGAACTGGGACCGAACTCCTAACCAACCTTAGTTTTCCAACGTTCAAAGTAAATCGAAAATATACTCGAAATGGGTTCGAAAAAAAAAATAAAAACTATAATAACAAGAGAGAAAGTGAAATACAGTTCATTCTCGAAGGAAAAGATAAGACTCTCTGAATAAAATTTCAATTCGACACTCGAGACTACGAGACTCGAAAACAATATTAATAATCCATGTTAACCAAGCCCAATGTTTATTGGGATTGTACTAAAAAAATGTGAAAGTTTGAGAGTGATTGATTCTGGATATAATACCATGCCACATATGCCACTCAGATAGGTTATAACTTGTGTTAATATATAGAGAGTTTCTGAAGAGAGTTGCCATCTTTTTCAAAAGTTAAAATCAATTAATTAATAAGTTAAATATAACAAAAAAGTGGTTGTCTAACGAAAGTGCATTCCAAAAGTATTTATTTCGAATATGTTTTTTAGGGGAGTTGCCACCTGTAAAAAAAGTTAAAGTCAATGAATTAATAAGCAAAATGATATATCACAACAATGTGTTTTCAAACAAAAGCGCTTCAAGAGATTTATTTCCAGCGTATTTTTTTCAGAGGGTTGCCACTTGCTCAAAAAAATAAAATCAATTTAAGTAAAAACTTTAGAATTTAAATGAAACATTTTGTTGTGGGTATAAAACGACCGAAGTTTCAGAAAGCTTATTTTCAAAAATAATTTTTTAAAGAGCTGCCACATGTTAGGAAATTCAAAATTAATTTAGTTAACAAGTTAAATAAATACTTTGCTATTTCGATATTGGTGTTTAACCAGAAAGTCGTAAGAAAGCTTTATT